ATGACACAATACCACTCATATTCTTATCTATCCACCGAACACTGTCATTGTAACTTTCTTAATAAAAAGAAGAAGAACTAAAGTGAAACAACAGACCCGTAGTCACGTAACAGTTGAAGCACCGAGCAAAATGATCGACAGACATATTGCCCTATACTTGTCAGTTCCTTTGTTTTCCCAAACATCTATTTCGGTGCCCATTTTGACTGACGACTCGGAATGATGCCGTGCACAATTTCAGAATTCGAGGCTCGTTTTAACGGATTCAAGTGATACTGCTTAGGGTCGACTTGTAAAAAGAGATAATTTGAGAGTGCATAGGCGATTTATTATTCAGTGGAAACTCTTGTAAATTCTACAATATTTTTTTTAAACATTGCCATTACTTTAGGATGATATTATTATCCTGTGTTGTAATGACGTTTTACAAACATAAATTTCACGCAGACAAACACCCAGATGCGAAACAACTATCTGTGGGTCACGCAAATAGTTGTCCCGTGTGGGAATCGAACCCACGACCCCTAACGCCGAAGCCAAACTTTGGCAACTGCGCCACGGAGTCATCATAATATTGATCTGATTACATTACTTGAAAAATCAAGTGACTGTGGCAGGGCCACGAAACAACTTCAGCTGTTGCACGAATGGACAGATCCGACCTGGTATATTACACGACCTGTCAGAAAACCAACGCGAAGTGGAAATGTTATGCTTCTGCGTTTCGTCTCATGAGTGAGGTAGCCGGGGTCCACTTTACTATAAGATAGCAACGCATCTGAAACCCTGGGAGTATCGCAAATGTCCATGGGTAGCGGTTATCACTTAACATCAGGTGAACCGCCAGCTCGCTTGCCGCATTCTCACATAAAAAACACTAGCTTCGTAGGTTCGTTCATGAACTGTCAAATATTATATTTGACAGTTCATAAACGAACCTTATGCAGTAATTTTGAAGCCGCTCAAGTTTATTAAGTTGCTCCTCAGATATATCTGGATAACAAGTGTCCGCGTAGTCAAGGATCGGTAGAAAAAGAGACTGAGCCATAGCAACTTTAGTAGAGATGGGGAAGACATTGCGCAATCTCGGAGTGAGCCAACTGCAGCAAACATCTTTATGCTTAGCTCACTAATTTGCGGCGTCCAGGATAACGTTTGATCAAATATAATGCCCTTTTTAACTGTATCACTGTATGGAATAACTGTTCCTTCGAATCTGGTTTATTTACTAGATAGAGTGATTCAAGAGGAAGGTTTATATGTATGATACTTTACACCCACGCGAAGCCGGGGCGAGTCGATAGTATCATATGAAAAAACTTTATTTTTAAGTATGTTTTGCTATTAATAAGTTGAGGTTCCAACCGCCAACATTCCACAAGAGAACCGGTAAGTAAATACAATCAAAAATATTTCTTTAATGCGAAAAGTTGTCAAACGAGCAGACGGTTCACCTGATGTTAAGTGAATACCGCCGCCCATGGACATCCGCTACACCCGACGGTTGCAGATGCGTTGACAACCTTTCGAAAATTGGGCTCCGGCTACCTCACTCACCAGACGAAACGCGAAAGTATTTGTTACACTTCCACTTTACGCTGGTCTTCTGTGAGGTCGTGGTACTTACCCGGACGGGCCTGTCCATTGGTGCAACAGCCGAGGCTGCTGCGTGGCCCTACCACCGTTAAAAAGTTGTTTTATTAAATATCTCACACAACAACAAAAAAATTTTGGTACAATTAACCACCTCAAAATACTCGTTACCACACCCTAACGTTATTCGTAATAAAAACGAATACAATCTGAACTCTCATTACTCATACTTTAATTTAATGTCTTAACATATATCTTTGTATAAAATGAGTACACGACGAGTTAAATGAATGCGCAAATATGTGTTCCCTTTTCACATCTTGTCTTTTCATCTAAAAGTAAAGCTTCTATGAAATCTCAATCCTTATCCCGTTCATTTAATTAAGGACTCCCGCAAACTCCCCCACGCACTTGTCGTAAGATAGTTACATAAGAATTCATTTACTACTTTATGCTGACTCTACTTAAATTAAAAGTAAATGGCAACTTTTGGCTTTATAATGCTACTTAAATTAAAAATATGTACCAACTTTTGGTTTACTTCATCTTATATTCACTTCGCGTACTACTTTACTTTTTATTTAAACAAAGACAAAACCAATATTGTCCTTATCTCGATGATTTTACATTTCTTATGAAATTATTTATTTGATTTGTTTCGAGAATGCATCGACTAAAGCTTCCGTGCATGTTATGGTCATACATTAACGACTGGTTTCTGAAACACTGATCATCGTAGAAATTAACTAATCAGCTGTCAAGTGGCTTCTCAAACATCATTTAAGTTGCCAATAGGATGGTTAAATAAGTAAAAGTTGATCAGAATGATCATTGAAGGACCTTAACCATCCTTTTGATAACGGACTATGTTCATGGGCGGCGGTGATCACTTTCCATCGGGTGATCCCCCCGTTCGTTTTCCCGATTTTCCTATTAAAAAGGGTATATTTGTCGATAAATGAAGAGAACGTTTACTTACATAATTAAGTATTAACAAAAATCACTACGAACCTAATGTGAACAATATGCAGGTTTAAATTTAAAAAGTTATCATTCAAACGCAAAATTCAATAGTAATTTAGGATACGCTCCAGTAGCGAAATAGTACGTTTAATTTTCAATGTACGATATTATTGTATAAATGATATTCCTATCTTATCGTTGAGTTTGCTATTTAATACTAGAGGATGTCGTTCGAAACTGCGTGGGATATGCACTGGATACATAATTATGAAGACATTATTAATGCAACAAGGCCATATTCACTCGACGCCATGTTCTGCAGCATTAATTCTTGTCGCACATGACGCGACAGGAATTTACGTATATGCAGCGCTTAGAAAATAGGACATTGAATTTTAAAGGATTTTACTGAACGACCTTGTGCATATTGCAACTAGAATAAGGAAAGATAAGAAAGCAATAAATCGTTATATAAATAATCTTACACAATTACAAAATATTCCGACGTTTTGATTGCTTTATAATAATCGAAAGTTACAATCACAGTCCAGCCCAAGTCTATAAAAGCTGTTTAAAACAAACTTGGATGAAATGTTTGAGTTGGTTTTTATTCACGTCAAAGATACGTCTTTGAAACTGTAAATACGCTGTTAAATTTATAAGGAGAGGGGACCTGATGACCCTTAGTTTGGTGCATCAGTCTCTCACAATATGAAAAGTCAACTTGTACATACATCCTCTTTTGGAATACTATATACATACTGTGTTGAGGACTATAGAATTATTATAATATAATATTCGCGTAAATAAAAGACATCATTACAACAATATCGTGCTAGACATTTGACTGTAGTATTTTCTATACTTGTTATTTTGATTCTTTTCTTCTTACATAACCATTAATGAATTCCTTATCAGTCCTTCTACCGTTGGCATTGAAACTTCTTTAATAAAAAAGCTAAAGTAAATCAACAGACCCGTAGTCACGTAACAGTTGAAGCGCTGAACAAAATGATCGAAAGACGTATTGTCGTATGTTATTGTTTTCGCTCATTTTGAGACTGAAATTGCACTAGTACCGTAAACGATTAAGGAAATAGAAAAAAACGAGAGTTCCTGTTCAGTACACTTATCATTTACCCCAATACTTCGGATCAGGGCCAAAAATTGTTCTTATCTCTGCCTAAAAAACATAAATATCAACTTCTTCGCCTGACGCCAAAACTCACGTAATTTGTTCCAATAAAATATCAGCCTTGCTCCATACAACTTTAGTAATATAAAGCGCCAATAAACAAACCCCAAGCCCGCCCCATCTTAAAATAGCAAGCAAATTTATCGCGTGTTTGGTAATAAATTAAAAGTGTAAGTGTATATTTCTACAGTGAATGTTTAAAGGTGCGGTAAATCATTCCGTTTCACTTACGACTACGACTCCACACACGGGAAATGACGACACTAGATTTATAAATGAATAAGTAATGATCGCTTTTTTATGAAAACTCCCAATGTAGTACAACTTTGTATTGATTAAGTATACTACCTACTTCAATGATGTTTAATAATATAGATGATGCATGTCCATACTGGGCGACGTTTAAAAATTGTTGTTCCGTTTTACATTATATGACATAATTATAAATGAGTGTGACAGACGATATAGAACGTGTGATACGGAAAGAGATATCAGTCTATAGTATTAAAATCTAATTACTTCAATTGGTGTAATTTGAGTGCCTCAATTTCGGTGCGCTATGAGAAGCGCCGCCTACGGACATCTAGAGCTCCTTTGTGTTGGCAGATAACAGTAAAACGTTATTTCAAGTTTTATGCGACGTAAAAAGTATGTACAGGTAAAACATAAAAGCGTGTTAAAAATCTATTGTTCATGCTTAATTCTTATTCATGTATTCAACGCGGGAACGCGCATAGCTTCGCGATTCCAACGTCATAATCGCCGGCGAAATATTATTTAAAAGGCTCGTTAATGGGTCACAGTTGTTTGTGTCCGCACGCGAATCGCGAATTTTACTTTAAAACCAGTTTATAATCATTCATTGCAATGCAGTCGCACGATTTAATTTCACAGTGTGTGAAATATTTGTAAATTTATTTCTCATATGCACATTCGAAACTGTGAAATTTAATGTGAATATACGAATCCTGTTTCATATTCAGTTATATCACTATAGAATATGTAAATATTCCTACGGTGGTATCCAAATAAGAATATTTTTTGGGATATGGCCACTTCGATGCGCCGCAAGTAAGCGCAAGTCAGCTGAGGGGGGGGGGATTTCTTGGCAGATTTAGATATGTTAATGGTTCCGATAGCACTGAGGGTTGTTGTCACTGACTATCTTCGGTTGCGACCTGGGCTTGTCTCCGTCAGGCTCTGGTGGTGTTTTGGGTAGAGATGAGTTCGTCGACTCTACTATCACCTAGCTGAGCTGAGCCTTTTTATTCCTCTTGTTCGTCCTCTTCTTCTTGGCCGTGGTCTGGCGCGACAATGTGTCATTGGAAGGAGCCATTAAGATTGATAGAGCTGATGGCTTCTGTAGTTTCAGCGAAGAAGGATGCTGGGTAGGGCGCTCCTTTTCTGTTGCTACAAAGCGCCTGGAGGAGTATCTTTTGTTGTCTACAGTGAACTCCTTAAGGTCGACTTGAGGATATCGATGAAAAACGATGAACGATTTAGTCATCTTAAAAACGAAAATTAGATTTCCGCTCTGGACATTTATTTGCGTGATCTACAACATTAATTGCCTTGGATCTGAATCTTTGTTCTGTTTTTGTAAAAGTGTTATACTGCAGAGGATAATGATATCCTATAGAGGAGTAAATGTTTAAAAAATATTTGGAATCGCTGTAAAGTTTTTAATGTATAGTTATAACGACGTTGTTCAAAGCTCAGCAAGAGATATAAGGTAATTTGCACTTAAAGGGTGTCCCATAAGTAAAGAGACAAAACTGAGTGTTCATATCGGCCAAGAAAAAGGTTTTAAAAAAAGAAAATAGCTGTTGCAATGGTAACCACCGGTAACAAATCTGTCAAATTCGTGGCGTGGTTTTGGAAATATTGTCGATGTTTTTCTAACATAAAGCGAACCGAACGATTGTGTTTGCAAAAACAGTATTATTAATAACATATAAAACAGTACTATCTGAATAATAGGAAATCCTAGGCAGTTCGTCATTTTTCTCAAGAAGGGGCTATAAAAACAAGTATCTACAGGATAAATAAACGGTATGAAGAATCAGGAGAGACTGATTTTAAGGAGATTCCGGGAAGCAACGTACCATAGCATCTGATCAAAACATAGATTAAGTTTTTAAAGAAGCACCTTCAACATCTGTGAAGACTGCGGCGGACAAATTGAAAATATCTGAGTCAAGCATATCCAGAATTAAAGATCAAGATCTGGGCATGAAGGCTTTTGTGAAATTGTCCGCTCGTGTAAAAGTACGTGAAAGACCAAGAAATGCGTGCTAAGTGAGGTTGCCGTCGAGTTTACCAAAAAACTAAAAAAAATTCTCATAATTGATGATGAAACTTTTGTACCGGTTGACCACTCTGATATTCCTGGGAAGCAATATTTCCACGCACTGCGTGGAAATATTCCGATATCCGACTAGTAAGTCGTGGTGAGGTGAATTACAGCGAAAAAGTTAAAACAAAGGCTAAATTTTTTAAGAAGTATCTGGTTTGGCAAGCTATAGACGAAAACGGCAATTTTTCCGAACCATTATCTGTACACGGTCTATGAACGCACAAATTTATTTTCGAGAGTGTATTATGAAACGATTAATACCGTTTATAGACAAGTATTATCAGAGGGAAGACGTTGTATTCTGGCCGGATATGGCTTCGTGTCATTACGAGTCTGAAGTCACTCAATATTTGCAATCTACGGGCGTCGAATTCATATCGAAACAAAACAATGCTCCAAATGTTCCTCAAGCTCGAGGTATCGAAATGTTTTGGGCTCTGTGTAAAAGGAATACAAAAAGTATTCAGAAAAATCAGAAACGTTGACATCTTTCAAACAAAGATGGGCAAGATTGGCCAAACGGGTGGCAACAACTTCTGGAAAAGCAGTCATGAGACGTGCAAGTGCACATTAATTTAAGAAAAATCGACTAATAGCAAATTTGATATAGATTGTATTTTTATTATTATTATGTTTAATTTATAATGACACACATAACAGTTGACATACAATTTTTCATTTAAAAAAATATTCATTCACTTGTCTCTTTACTTCTGGGACACCCCAGTAATCTACGACGGGTTAAACGATGATACTCATATTGACGCGTATCAAGCACACAATCGACTTGCCAATCATCTCGATGCTCCCTCGTTTAAATGGAGCGTGAACAAACGCAAAGAAAATTGCACTTCTGCATAAAAGGGAATCATCGTATACCTGTTTCCCCTTGATGTCAATTCGCGGTACTAGTATCTAGGTTAAGTGTTAGATGTGAGTAACATTAATGATTAGAAATTTTCTAATTTAATAGCTTGATAATAGTGCAATCTGCAAATGCTTGTTAGAGGACCAGCTATCTCCGCCGTTAATTTAAAATGGTTAGTTTGTGTAAAATAATCAGTTTTAACGAATCAGTTTGTTGATATCTGGTATAGCTTTTGAGTCACTGACGGAGACGATTACATAAAACTACTTATTTATGTGTCTGTAGCCAATAATAAATAAGTACCTGGAGGACCGAGCTCGTTTTTTTTTTTTTTGGTAAATCGTGTGTTTTGGAAACTACATTTAGATACAAATTACTGAGTAATGAAATATGCATAATATTTTTTGATTTTACCGACGTAATAATAAGAAAATATGAACTGGTGTTTTTCACAAAAGAAAGAACTTTAAAAAAAGGGGAAAAAAGGAAAAAAATCATCTGGATCAACAAAAGATAAAAAATAAAGAAAGCAATGATCTAGAATCGAAAAAGAGTGTGTAAATGATCGTGACACGAACCGTCTGTTTTGGGGCCGCCCGATTACCGATTGAGCTATTGTAACATTTTTTTTTTGCGGCGAAATTAACCGTCATATTCGAATGATATTTTCATTCCCTGAAAACAGGGATAAAAGGACATTTTCTAAAAATGAAACCTTGCTACTCGTAGATCGATTTTTCTTCCCCGAATCTGCGCACATACTAAATTTCATGAAAATCGCTGGAGCCGTTTACGAGATTCCGATTATATATATATATATATATATATATATATATATATATATATACAAAAATTGCTCGTTTAAAGGATATGATTTATAAAGTCATGAACTGAAATTTAAGCTTAAAATACTGCATAATAAGCATGCCACATTTGCGGATAATTTTTCCACCACTCAATCCTTTACAACTTAATTGGACACACCAAATTAATTTAATACATAGTTTTAACCGAGACTTGGACAAGAATAGTAAAGGCAATAAAGTCCAAACACCCCACTCTCTGAAAAGTAATATTGAAACATTTCAAATTTAATTTTGCTATCAAGCCGTATTTCACCTTCACAAGAACAACATTTCCAACGGAAAAATGCAAATATTTCAGGACGTGTCAGTGAAATACGAAACTTAAACGCGTTCGGTCTAAGCGCCCGCCCGTTGGAAATTATAACTTTAAATTTGATTTACTTCTTTAGCGGACAGTTGTTCGGGTCGTCTTTCCTAGCCTCAATTCCGCCCGACTAAGCAAAGAATAATTTAAACTTACCTTTTACTATGACTTAAGGAAAATAACGTTATAATCTTATCTTGCAGTAAGGTTCACCTATTTTTTAGGGTTTGCAAAAGCTACCTTAATGGAAAGGGCCTATTATAATGTCGAAGAATACATTGGATGGAGAAGGATGTGTGGAAATGATTCTAGCCCTGCACTTGTAAGTGCCCCTGACTGTTGTGATTGTATAATTAAATAATTTTGTATACTTATAAATAAATAAAAAAAGATCCGCAAAAGAGAGAAGTTTCTTGCCAGTTCTTCTCTGGATAGGTTTGGTTTAGCAAACCGGTGGTAGTTCTTTTTAAAATAATAAATGCAATACTCTCTGTCCGTCTGTACATTTTCATGCTAAAACTACAATACCGAACTTATTTATTATCAGCGCCGTAATGAATCTTCACTCCCTTCTTGATGTCTTAGCAAAATTTATACAGCAAAATATTATCCGAGCAAACTAATCTGGAACGTTCCGAGCTACGTCACTAATAAATATTCTAGTTTGAAAAATTTAAATTTCATTAAAACTTAGCCTTTGGTCCGGTGCCTCTAGAACGTTGCTTGGTGTCTCCGCGGAGACAAACCTTCGTAACTAGTTGGATTTTTTAACTAGCCGCATAATTTCAGGCGTGGTCCTAGGAGGTAAACTTTTAACAAGTGACGTGGCCTGATTGGAGACGCTAAACTAATTTGTCGGGCATTTCATAGTTACCTAACCGGTTTAGTGTTGTTAAAACTGGCGACAGCCACAGAAAGAACTTTGTTGTAACTTGATTATGTTCCGGTTGTTTTGGAATTAAAATGTAGTGAAGAATTAAGATGCGGAGTGTATTCTCAGTCACATTTTTTTTTTATGTGACAAGTTGCCAAGCGAGCAATCAAGGTGGTTCACTTGATGTTAAATAAATACCGCCGTCCATGGACATCTGCTACACCCGAGGGTTGCAGATGCGTTGACAGCCTTTTCCGGCCGAAAATTGTGGGCTCCGGCCACCTCACTCACCAGATGAAACGCGAAAGTATTATACTTCCACTTTTAGTGCTGTGTCGTGGTACTTACCCGGACGAGCCTGCCCATTCGCGCAGCAGCAACTATAGCTTGGTAATAGAGAATTTCTCATATGAGCTTGTGTATACTTGGGATATATGAATAAAAATATAAAATAAAACATACTAATATTTGACTATTTGTTATATTTTCCTCTATTCTGCTTATAGATACACTTTTCGCGAGGGTTACGTAAACAAAATCACAAGGAATTTTGATTCACACAAACTTTGGATCCGTCCAGGAATCCGACATAATGCACGACGTATTTATTTCATGTAGCAAGAAACCTTAATTTGTGACACCAAAGACAAACGTAGAGAGAACTAATAGAGGCAAAGGGAGGTTTCTTCTTAGTTGTGTTGTTACATTAACTTTATAGACATTAGAATGACGAGTTTGCGACACAGACAAACAATGATTAGGTACTGAAATTGTGTGTACACGAGCCCTTCGCTTTAGTGTAACAGGCAATTAGGAAAGCCCTTTATTTAATATTACACGGTACTAATATACATAATAAGAAACGGTATTTTAAGAGCGATAGTATTTATTTATTTATTTGAATAGGCTTACGGACTAAACACACACAAATCATTTACATAAGATATACTAAACTTAAATAATAACCATGTACATAATATATGTATTAAAATAAAAGGTAAATACATCACTTATCTTGAAATCAGTTCTTAGGTACAGAAACTTACTAGTTAATTAACTACAAATTTAAAAATAATGAAAATAATGAAAAAATCAGGGCTATGGATGGTTTTAATAAATTATTTTATAGTAATTAAATAGTTTTTTATTCATAAGGTTCATAGGGTTAGAAGATATAACAACGTCACATTTTTCATTTACTATGGTAATGTATGCAGACTTACCTAATGTTAAAGATGT